TTTTTTGTAGCTTTCACATGGCTTTTGCTTGCGTTCCTTTGCTCTACCAAGATATTATGTACCGAGTATATTGTAAATTTTTTGAAGATGTGTCCAGTGCTTGGCTTGGTTAGGCATTGGACACGATGCTGCGTAATATTTTTTAAGGCTTTTAGGACAATATTATACATATATAAATAAGCTCCTCCCAGACTCCCAGTGTAGCTAAAGTGCATACAATGTGTAAAACTTGAAACCAAACAATATAGAATAGAATTTTCACAATTGTTGTTTGTGTTCGGATGGTGCGCAAAGTTTCTTTAAGCATCTAAAAATAAACTATATTTAAACAAAATGTACACTAAAATAGTCTTAACAAATATGGCCTACTTAATTTTTATATATTACAATTTATAGTATTAGCGCAGATTTGATTTTGCAAATCTGGCTTTATGTTTTAAACATTTTTTTTTTGCCCCCTAATATATAAGCAACGATTTTTTTTTTTTGCTGTGCGCACCTCTTAATAGCAACAATAAACCATATTTATTATTGCCCCTGTTGAAAAGAATAAATGTAAAAAGTTTTTTTTTTTTTTTATGTAAAAAATAATTTAAGTTGAGCATATTTGTGTGTTTATATGTATTCAAGAWTGTAAACTTATAATGTATCTAATTATTATATTGTTTGTGCGTTATATGAAGCGAACAGGGAAAGATGAGACGTTCTGCAAGGAAATGTGATCGATATTTAATTATAATATAATAATAATAATTAAAAATTAATGTAATTCATAAAAATAGCATGATTATTGTGTAACAAATGAAACAATAATTACAATTATTTAATATGTTGGAATAAACGAAAGAAGTTCATAAACATAAAATTGTTAGTTTTGTAATTTCTATTTTTAAAAAGGAAAACAATTTTTAAAAACGCGCCTAGAATGAAGAATATCGATATTTTGTACAGCGTTCTTTTTGTATCGGCACTGCAGCCCTGTAGATCAACGCAATCGAAGACATGATATCGATGTTTCGATAACGCGCAGTTCTGTGGAAGCTATTTTCGCGTCATTTCAACTAACGCGCTAAACTGTTGGAAGCCAGTTTGTTTATAGTTTTACAAGTTTTTATTTTATCAATTGCATATGCCATTTAACATTGGTATTATAGAATGTATCGCCCACGACGTACCTCAGAGTTTCACGATGACGGCCGGGATGATGGTGGCGTCGTTAACAAACGCCAAACGAGGCAAGTCCAAGGTGGAATAATGTGAAGTGAATTTGAGTAGTTATTTTTCCCGTTTCTTTTGTTGCTGTCCTTAGGTCGCTATTGCGAAATACGACATCATCCTCCATTAGTAAGCCAAACCACAGAGATTGGCAGCCGCAGTCTCGGCTTACCCAGTATAACCAGGATCGCGAACGTGGCACGCCCCTCCGCACGGGTCCGCCGCCCACGATGAAACGGAGCCTGGCCAATGGGAATGCGGTGACGCCGATGCGGCATCGGCAGGCTTCGTCGTCAGAGCGGCCGGTTGTATTTCACACTGACAAAAAGTGGGTGCAGGAGCAGGCACAGATGATAGCCGAATATCTGGATGAGATGGTGCAAACTTATGCGCTGTCTAATTTCCCAAGCGATTTCTTTAGTCGAGGCGCCGCGACATTGCGTCAAATGACAATGAAACAGTTTGTGGGCATTGTGAACTTCCTTTTGCACTTCATTTGGCCGAATCGCACCACCGTGGGCAGCAATCACGTTGAGGATATAACAAACGCATTGCACAAGCTCAACTATCCATATCAGGTGAATAAGTCCTGGCTAATGACACCCACCACACAGCACTCGTTTGGCCATGTCATTGTCATGCTTGACTTCCTTAAGGACTTCGCGCCGTCGTCGCAAAAGCAACAGGCATTCGGCCAATACGAGGAGTTTCCCTTTATGGAGACCAGCGAGCAGGCCAGCTATGTGCAGAACACACAGGATTCGATGGCTCTGTCTAACACACAAATGGGCAGCGTGATACTCAACGAGGAGACCACTCAGCTGCTGTTTACGAAATCCGCCGAGTGCTTTGCCGTTTGGGACAAGCAGAAGGTGGACGAGTATGTGGTGCTGAAACGCAACGTCAGCGATCAAATTGTGAAAAGCATTTGTGACTTGCCCGACACTGCGAGTCTGGACGCGGACATTGTGCGACAGCAGAGCGAGCTACAGCAGCTGGAGGAGCAGCTCCAAAAACCCCGCAGCGGCAACAACGAACATCTGGAGCAGCTAACCGCCCAGCATCAGCAATTGGAGCATAAGCTGCATACAATGCAAGCCAATACGGAGGAGTATCGCGAGAAGATCGAACGGCTCAAAGCAACCGCTGCCCAGAATGTGGACACCATGAAAGCACTGCGCAAGCAGCGACAGCAACTGCACCGGGAATTGGGTCAGCAGAAGTGCAGCGCTGAACAGTTTCAGGCCAAGAAGGGTGTGCTCGGTGATCTGGAGACCAAGGAAAAGTTCTACAATCGGCAACTGCGCGAGTTCACCGAGCGCGGCTACGATCAGCAGGTGCGATTCTCGCGTGCCAAGAAACAGCTGCTGGACAAGGTGGAGAAGTTCAATACGCATGCGCAGAACATTGGCCTCGACTCGGACATATGCAGTGCCAGCGAGAAGGATAAGTTGGATTTGGTGTTGTCGCTGCCGCTGCAGCTCGGTGACATCCAGGCGCGCAACCGTCGCCTCACCAAGCTGAGCACAATGCTCGAGCAGCGTGGGGAGCAGCACAAGGAGCGCCTGCGGTGCCTGGAGCAGTACATCACCGAGCTGACGAAGCAAATCAGAAATATCGATGGGGTCAACAAACAATTGAATAACCAGATTCAGTCATATGAGCAGCAAATGGAGCAACTGCATCACAGCCATCAGGAGAAGGAGGCCATGTGGACGCAGCATCAACATCAGCATGATGAGCGCAAGGTTGAGCTCAACGCAAAGCTCGAGCAACTGCAGCTGGAGCAGCACGACCTAACCCAGCAATTGGATAACATGCGCAAGGAGAACGAAGCCCTCCTCAGCAATGCCGAGCAGCGACACGCCGAGATCATAAGCGAGCGCGAAGAATTCTGCAGGCAGTACAGACAGCAGCTGGACGATGGCGAAGAACACCTCAAGAAGATTGATGCAATAATTGCGCAGAACGACATCAGAATAGCCAGCATCGAAAAGCAACTGCAAGACAGCAAGCTGACACCGTTTGAAGACGTGCTGGACAAGGTGTTCAAAAATCTGATAAATAATTAATTTATAGTATATGCCTATATATACTTTTTTTGATTGTATAATATTATTAATGAATTTTTTGATTATTGATGTAAACGTAGTGATAAAATAAATTTTACAAATAAATAAAATCAGTGGTACATAGAATTCATGCATGGAATTAGTAATAAATAAATAATTATAGACAAATAGTAATAGCAAAAAATATATGAATATATTGATGATAGTTATGGTATGACACATGTAGGAATTTTTCATAATTTATTCAATTCAATAACTTTTTAATTTGCATGAGAAAACGTACAAATGAAGTAATTACATATCGAGTATATTTATTATTGATAGATGAATGTTTAAATTCTTGTTTAGATTAATTTCAAGTCAAGAGGCTTGTCTCAACGGCTATCATTTGATTTACAGTACACGCAGGTACATTTATTTATAGTTGTGCTGATTGCAATGTCGACTGCGAAATACTCTACAAAGTGTATGAATATGCAAGAGATAGAGATAGAGATAAGGTGAGGAGCTACATTCGCTTGCTTTGGATTCTCGCCTAGTTATTGCCATGCATATTCATCATTTGGATTACATTGTTTTAAATTGCACTTGGTACGGTTTAGGTTTAGGTTTAGCTTTACATTGTACTGTGTTACATTTATATATATAATATATATATATATATACGAGCTCGTCGTCGTCTTTTGTGTGTGGGTGTGAGGGTGGGGCTTACATACATACATGCGAATAGACATACATACATAATATAACATAATTTTTGGCCAATTTGAGTAATGGGAATCGGAAAGAACGCACTGAATCAATATCATCTTGTAATAAATAAGTATGTATATAGCTTAGGTAAATTTATACAGGGGTGTATGTGTGTGTGTGTGAGTCGCTTATGCCGATGATGGCTCAGCTCAAACAATAAAGACATCACCATTATTGTGGTCGACAGTGGATGATGCTACGTTCGAGAGAGCTAGGTCGCTGCCACACCCAGATCGCAGTGACTGAGATTGAGTTTGCGCCTGGGCAGGCATTGCTGTCGTCGCTGGCTCCCCTTGGCTGACCTTGTCCAGCAGTTCGGCCTCTCTGCCAATTTCGACAATGCCCTGGGACTTTTGCGGCGATTCCTGTGCCTCCTCCAGACTATCCTCGCTTAGCTGGCTGGCCATGTGTATGCTCACGCCAGCCACGTCTAGCTCCGCCTCGTCCTTGTGGTTTTGGAATGTAACTGAGATCTCCTGCGGCTGCTGCGACGGTCCAGCGCCGCCATCGATGCTGTCTTCCATATGACTGGGACTGTGATTTTGATTGCTGTCGCTGCCAGCGCCAGAGCCGGAGGCTATGGCGCCCGTGCTATTAGCCGGCGCAGTCGTAATGGAGGACCACCAGCTGGAGAGGGCCCCCTTGGCCTGCGAGATGGCGCCGCCCACAGCTCGGCTCGTGTTGTTAACAGCCTGATTAATCTTACGTCCACTTTCGCTATTCTGCATGGTTCTGCGCAAGTAAGAGTCAAGATTATATTTCTAAATTCGCTTCTTTAAACAGTTCGGTTATTGCTTACTGCGCCAGCTTCAGCTTCATGTCCGCCACGGACAGCGTGCCCGAAAATGGATGGCCAGTGGGCAGCGCTTCAAAAAATTCGGGATCGGGTCGCACATCGTACCACTCCTGGTAGCATTGTGTGCGCTTGAAGGCGCTCATGAAGTGCGGATTAAAGTGGTCATTGTCCTTGATATCTACGGCAAACATGAAGGATTAGCCAATGTAATTTAACATTTATTTTTACATAAACTGTTATTGATGCTCACCAGGTGCCACCGTGGCGCGTAGCAGTGCCAGTATGTAGCCCTGGAACTGTTCACGTATCCAATACTCGCTGCCTTCGGCATCCTCTTTGGGCGTTTGTACATGCTTCAGTATGTAGTCCATGAAGCGCAGGTCCTCTGTGCTGAGCACCAGCTGCCGCCGCAGCTCCGGATCATGGACATCCAAATTAGCGGCTTCGATGTCGACGAGCACATCGGCCAGCTGGCGCTTCTGCTGAAACAGCACATTGGAGGTGCCAATAATATAGGAGAGCACCATGGGATCGCTGAGCAGGTCCATGTACGGTAGCGACAAGTAGGGCAGGCAGAGGTTGCCGCTGGCAAAGATGCTGACAGGTGCACGATATTCGTCAGGATTTATGGCGCACAGCGCGGCAAGATTAGCTAACAAGAAGGAAGATCTGGATTAAGGGAGGCTTTCTAGAAACACATCGATTGCACTTACAGGCCAATGTGTCGACGCTTGCCTCGCGAGTCAATGAGCTGCTGCGTCCACTCCGTTTACTGGCTCCGCCTGCGCTGGTGCCACTCTCCGTCGAGTCGACGCGCTGCAGCTCGTTGTGCGTTGGTGTTGTGGTCGGGCAGCTGGAGTCGTGGGACTGTGAGTTGGGAGTTGTGTGCGGCGAGGTGTTGCCGCTGCTGTTGCAGCACTGAGAGCCAGCCGAGGCTGCCGACGAGACCACCGTTAGATCTTCGGCCTCTGCGACGACATCAGCTTCAATCTCGGCTTCGGCAACGGCTTCAGCCTCACGCTGGAGCGAGTCGGTAAAGTCGGGCATGGGCGAGAGCGGGCGCGAAGTGCGCACACAGGCCACCTCCTGGAATCCCTTCTCCAGCAAGCGTGGTATCAGCGAGGCCATGCCCAGTATGAGTACACACATGCCGCGCACGGGTGAACCGAAGCAGACGACACGCCTCTGCAACAGCAAGAGCTTGAAGAGCATCAGGCTCTTGTGGCGCCAGTGCAGCACAATCTCGCGCAGCGAGAGGCCCACATGGAAGTGGCGCAGCGGACGGTGCGTCTCCTCGTCTAGCAGGCAGGCATTCAGCTGTTGATATGCCTTGACCAGAAGCTCAGTGCAGCTAAAATCACCCTGGTCGAAGAAGGCGTCGGCGATGAGCGCCAGTTTGACCTCAATGTAGCCATAGATGGGCAGACGTGCCAGTATGCACACTGACTTTTGTACGGTGCTGCGGGTCACGTCTGCGGTGCGTATCTTGAGTTTCTCTACGGGAATTTGACGGTAGCACGATACACCGTAAATGCTGGCGGCTGGCTCAAATAGGCTGGGCAAATTGAAGAATACGGTGTCCTCCATGAAATTGTGCGAGCCATCTGGCAGGGCCAGCGTGGGTAAGTATTTCCAGCCGGAGGGACATTCGTTGCGCCCACTTGAGCCGGCGACAAGCGGCGGATGCGAGAACTCCACCTGACAGCCGAGCTTGTGATGGAAGCCAACAACCAAGATGTGTAGTATGGGCGGTTTGTTTTCTGGCTCGCTGGCCATCTTTACCCGTGGACTCGACGCAAACTTCGTACAATTTTTGCGACAGATGCGTCAATCAGACAGGAAGAACAACAACAACAAAAACGGATGCTGATGGGTGGGGGAAACGAAGATACGCCTTGCAGCGTCACTGCGAAAATATAACAGAAAACAAAAGTCACAATTATGACACTGAACCAAACAAAAAACCTCAAATTACACGTACATATGTGTCAATATGCTTGTATTTAGATATCTTATTTCGTTGTTCTTCAAAATTTGCAAATAGAACTGCGGAGATATCGACAAAAAGGTTGTGGTGGCTGGTCGATAGATGAACACAATCGTAATTGAAGCATTGACTGCGATATCTACATAAACAATGATTAGCCGATATTTAAGTGCCAATTATCGAATAAGCCTAATAACAATGATGGCAAGCCGTTACAAATGCTGTACTATATGCTGTTCAGCTTACGTTATGTTTGTGTCGAGATTAAATTGCACAAATGTGCAGACATGTTTACAAATGCTTAAATACACAGCGAAGCATTTTATGTATGATATAATTAAGGCTTACTTTTATTGTAATTGTTAAACATGTGGGTCAAGTAAAGCGTTTGCTACTTTTCATAATACCGTTTACTACTTTTTTTTATAAACTATGTTAATACTAATACTCTTTTCTAATGCCATTAATATTACAATAAGTAATATATTAGTATTGATATAAGTATATTTGCTTCTAGTATTTTCGGACTTAGCCAATGTTTTTAATAAATGAGACGGACAGAGCTTAGGAATAACAAGTTTCATTAGGTTGTAGAGGATTAAGAATAAATTTTAAATTTATAATATTGGAACAACAGAAAGGTACTTTCTAACATTTTTCACCTTCTGCTTGATTTCTATAATTTAATTCTCAAGCATTTTACTTGTTTTTTGTTTTTGAATTTCATTTATTTTTAAAACAAACGTCGCACGTATATATTCTAATTTTGGCACCCAACGGATTGTTGTTCGTTACAAAATATGTTTGCTATTCTGAAAGCCCATTCAAATCTATGAAACAGAATGGATTCGATATGAAATATCTATGAAGTGTTAATAGGTGGATATTACATATAATGAATATAAGATAATCAGAGCTACATAGTTCAATAAGAGTTATAGACTCTTTTAATTGTATGTTTTATCTACCGTTTAAGTATTATACAGCTATCCCTATACATAAATTGAGCAACAAAAGAAATTTAAATTTGCGAATCGTCTTTAAAATTAAGAATTCTTTGTTTACTCTGAATTCATTCATATGATTTACCACAATCCTAGCAAAATTTTTAATTCAGCAATTGAACTGTATAGTGTTCGAAATGCGTGAAGTCATTAAATATAAAGAAAGATTTACAATATTATGTCTACTAATATTTAATAATTGAACTGATTAATTTTGGAAATTATTTTTAGAAATTTGGTTTACTATTTTATATTACATTATTTATAGTTATGATATCCATATTTTTGCCGGTATTCCTTTCTATACAGGATTCATCTCATTTGCATATTAAACTGCATGAAAAATAGATGTTTAAAAACATTGAAATTTCTAGAAGAAACAAAAGTTTAATATAACATTATAGGTATTTCAAATTCAAGCGGTTTGTCTTTGAGGTTAAAGCTTTGATATGCCGATGCT